CAGAAAAGCTTAGTTCTCAGCTTGGGGAACCTGATGACACCAGAAAAATATTGCCCAATGGTCTTAGGGACAAAGCTGTGCAGTTTATAAAGAACAACCTGCACCATAAAATAAAGCCAAAAGACTTCTTAGAATTATTAAAGCTTAAATTTCTTTCAAGTCTTGCACAGCCAGGAGAACCCATTGGTGTGCTTGCCGCTCAATCTGTCGGAGAACCTTCAACACAGATGACGTAAGATGCCCTTTACTTTCAGAAAAAAAAAAAAAAAGTGAACTGTTCTATTTGACATGATGGAGTATTAATGAATTTTATGCTCAATATGATAGTCAAGCAATCGATATGTTTTAGGATTTAGAGTGTAATGCTTTTGTGTTTCTGAAAATCATTGTTGATTGGTAAGATTTACTGGTATTCCAAAGTTTGTGCCCAAGCTACAAGTCATCATCATTGTCATTATCATCATCTTCCCCTCCTATCTCTCAAAATATCATCTGAAAAGAACATTTTGGAATCTTACTTGTATGTGATGAAAACTTCGTCATTTTCCTTGCATTTTAACCTTAAAACAGTCTCTGATACTAGTTCTTGGTCTTCCTGAAGTTCTTTCTATTAGAGTCTTTTGTTTAATAACATGATTTTTGTGAAGCCCAACTACTTTACCTTGTTAGAATTTAGTCTTACCATTTCTTTTGGACATATGGATGCATATGTTTATTTTTAACAGAGTTATTTAATGGGACTTGAAAACAGAATAATTGAAATGTTAGGAATGAATTGAAACTTCACTTGAAGTTTCAGGACAAACAGCTGCATTGTACCCTATCTAGGGTTGACATATTGTGTATCTGTGATCTTTGGTGGCATGCATTTGTTTATTTTTAGCTTGTTTAAGAAAATTGTATGTGCCACGTCAGGGGATGCTAGAGGGAAATTTTGCGTTGAAGTATTGGATTTTAAACAGGTAGAACCCAACTACGATTTCTACTTCCTTTTTCCAATTAGTGAAGTTTGTTTTTATTGAGGCTTAGAAAATTAATATACTGGAAGGGTGTATCTGTGAAAGATTTAGCTTCCAATGTTTCTAGTTAATCATTTACGTGAGAAATATTCTGGAAACAAATTCTTTTTTTTTTTTTTAAGTTTTTCTCATGTATGAGCTTGCTGGGTAACCAATTTTAATTATGGGTCTGTACTTTTTGTGACCCTGCTTATGAAGACTCAATGGTCTCAACTGATTAACCGCTTTAGTTTAAACAGCAAGTTCCCTTGTTTACTTATCCAGGCTCCAGACAGTACATTCTTGTGTTCATATTTCATATGTTATTGTCTATATCCTTACGTGCTACTTTCTTCCTTGATGTGAGGATGCAAATGTTACTCACACAATAATATGTATTTTACTCATATATGTAATTTTTTTTAAGCATGCATTAAATTCTATTTCTATGGATTTGCCTTTTCTTTCTTTGTCAATTTCATTTGGATGTTCTGTTCTCAGGCTGAATACTTTCCATCTTGCGGGGCGAGGTGAAATGAATGTTACACTTGGTATTCCACGTTTGCAAGAGATCTTAATGACTGCTTCAATTGATATCAGGACTCCTGTTATGACGTGCCCCTTGCATAAGGGGAAAACAAAGTAAGTTGCTGTCACTTGTCAGTTGAGCCTCTCTTGATCATTATTTATAAATTGCTAATCAGTTGAGCCTCCCTTTATCAATATTAAAGTAGGATATGAAAGGAAGTTAATATTTTAGTTAACCTACATTTTTATCCTTTTTACCCAACTTTCAAGTCCAAAACTTTGAGCAAAAGGCGATTCAGATATTAACGTTCTACATTTCAGCTGGACTAAAACATTAACTTTTACTAAACCACCTTTTAGAATGGTGTTTGGACCAAAATATTACTTCCTCTCTCAAACTCAAGTTGTAATGAAAACAAAAGCCCAAATCAATGCCTTATTTTTTTCCCTTCTTTTTCACCATTTGCCTTTCAACTGCAACATCTCATTTTCTTTTGTCAGCCCAGACGTAGTAATGGACACTTGAATTCCTTTCCACCCACCCTCCATTTCTCTCTTCTTCTTTGCCATAGCTGATTCGTCTAGCCAAAGGGTGAAGAGTCTGCATATGTACTATCGATGCTGTGTTAGACATATATATTCCCACTTGTATCCATCCATGTGGTAGTGACACTGGTATGGTGACCTCAGATGGCAAGTCCATGTAAAAAGATGACAGTTTTTAAGGATGATTTTTAATTGAAAACTAGTCAACATGCCTTCTTTGATAGAGTGATCAGAGGTAGGCTTCTTTGTAAAGTCCCCAATAAATTGACTTAGATCAAATGCAAAGTTTCTTTTTGTTATCTTTAAGCAGGGTCACATTACATACTTTGTTTGGTTGAAGAGCAGTAAGAGAAGGAACATAACTGCATAAATACTTAAAGAGAAATATTAAAAAGAAATATTAAAGGAAATTTTCTTTGTACATCTGAAAGGTAATGATAATAATGAGGAATCGTTCCTCTTCAAATTGCTGCAATTAAAGAGTATAAATATTGGGGGATTTTGATGGTTTCTGAGGGGTATGTGCATCCCTCCAAGTTTCTACTCCCAAATGAAAATGTTTTCCAAATGAGGGAGATTCTACCTTTCTCCCTCCTTTCCCTTCCACAAACGAATAAAACCTTATCCCTTTACTGTAGTATTGTACAATAAGTCTTTGCCAGGTAATCTGAACTTCTGAATTGGCTGCCAAGCGGTGCAGCTTTAGACATTTAGATGATTTGATTCTTTAATATTAGTTTAATGTTTGGCTTTTCCTTTAATAACTACTTTAATGTATTTTGCTTGTGTAGGGAGGATGCCTTGTGTCTCGCTGATAAGATGAAGAAAATCACAATAGCAGATATATTAGAGAGTATGCAAGTATCTATCACGCCATATGCTGTTCACGATGGTGATATTTGCAGTATCTATAAACTCAAAATGAGGCTTGGCAAACCTGGCTGGAATTTTAAGAACAGTGATATAACAGTAGAAGACTGTCAGCATATCTTAGAGATAGTGTTTCTGAGGGAGTTAGAGGATGCCATACAGAACCATCTGGTTTTGCTCTCCAAAATTAGTGGCATAAAGAATTTTATGCCTGATTCACGACCAAATACTTCAAATGATATGGATGAAAATGTTTCTGAAAGCAGATCTCGTGAAATGGAGAATGATGATGATACTGATGATGAGGAAAGAGGTGAGGATCTTGGTCTAGATGCACAAAAACAGAAACAGCAAACAACAGATGAGATGGACTATGAAGATGGTTCGGAAGAGGAACAAAATGAAGGGGCATCATTGACTGGGTTGGAAAGTGAAATTGATATATCTGAGGATGAGAATGGAACTATTGAAAATAATGTGATTGGATCAGATAATGATAAGGATGAGATTTTTCATAGTTCACCAAACCTAGAAACCAGATCTAAGCCTAAGTCAAGGGAGAAAAACATCAGATCAGAACCCAAAAGAAAAAAGATGAGGGGAAAGTTTTTTAGGAAGGAGACTGATAGAGCAATATTTAATTCTACCAAAGGATTGCGCTTTGAGGTCCATTTTAAGTTGGTAAATGAACCTCACATTTTACTGGCTCAGGTACTTGCTCTCTTTCTCTGGTCATTTATCATTGCATTGTTTCATATGTATCTAATTTATTTTAAGACCACTGCCTCCCTTTTTCTGTGAAATAAATTGAAAATGAAACCAATAATAACAAGGAACACTTTCTTATTCTGTTGCAATAATTAAATTTTCATTGAAGCTTTTGCTTTCCCGCCTTTACCTGTGGAACAGGGATGTGAAAAGGTTGAAATATGCTGATATTTTGGTTAAATGTTCTCATTTCCTCCCTTTTTTTGTCTTTGCCTTTTGAAATTTGCTTCTGGATGGATGTTTACATTTGAATTTGAAGGTAGTTATAAAAAGAACCGATGGGCCTTTCTTGCTTTGAATTTTTAGTTAGCTAATGCACAGTTTCGGTCTTTTCTGGTCTAATCTTCTGCAGATTGCTGAGAAGACGGCAAAGAAGGTTTACATCCAGAGCTTTGGAAAGATTGACCAATGTCGAGTGACGGACTGTAGTGAGAATCAGGTGTTTTACTACGGAGAAGATCCCAAAAAAAGGAAGAGTCCATCTGACAAGGAAAACATACCAGCACTGCACACAGCTGGAGTGGATTTTGGTGCTTTTTGGAAGATGGAAGATCACCTTGATGTTAGGTATTTATATTCCAATAGCATTCATGCAATGCTCAATACATATGGAGTGGAAGCTGCCAGAGAAACCATCATTAGCGAGATCAGTCACGTTTTCTCATCTTACGGGATAGCTGTCAATATCCGCCACCTGACACTTATTGCTGATTTTATGACCCATTCTGGAAGGTATCGACCTATGAGCCGGCTTGGTGGTATAGCAGATTCTATATCACCTTTCAGCAAAATGTCTTTTGAGACAGCCTCTAAATTCATTGTTGAGGCAGCAAAACATGGGCTGGTGGACAACTTGGAAACACCATCCTCTAGAATCTGCCTTGGATTGCCAGTGAAAATGGGCACTGGTTCTTTTGATTTGATGCAGAAATTGGAGATCTGATGTTATATTTAACCATTCACTAGCTTTGAAATCTTGTAGAGTGGAGTCCATCCATGGATATGATATACTAAAAGCGAGAAAAATTCGTGTGCCAAGTGAGTTTGTTAAATAGGGCTGTAAGTTTTACAGGACTCATTCTCCCTCTTCAATATGGATTATAAACATTTCAATTTCAGGTGAAATGCATTAACAATCATTTGAACAAATGATTTTGTCGATTTCTTTTTTTAATGGTTATTCATTTAAGCCCCGATGATGGGAAATCTTTAACGTAAATGAAAAAAATAAATTGCTGATTATTCTTTGATTAATGGATAAAGTTATGCTGATTATTCTTTGATTAATGGATAAAGTTTTTCTTTTACTCCTGATAAACAAAGCGAGCAAGTTCTATTTGTTGATCTAACGATTGTAATACAACATGAAACAGCTCGTTTTGAAAGTAGGCATTGCAAACGCTAAGCTCACTGTACAAACTTGTATAAATGGATAACAATGGAATTGCACATTATTCTTGAAGTAAAGCAAGAAATTGAACCTAACTTTAACATGGAGAAGGGCTCCATCATGTAGTGAACAGCAAACAGTTGCTTTATGATGTCCTTGATATGTCTTAATCTCTTCACCAGTTGACATGGACCAAAGCTTGGCTGTTGTATCAGAAGAGGCTGCATGGTAAAGGAAACGTATTTCGTTAAAATGGGTCAAATCTATGAGGAGTAACACATTTTCTAGAAAATTACTCGGGATATTGGAACCATTTTCTTTAAGTGGAGGAAGAAAGAGAATCTTTACATGATAAGCTGGCAAGCATGCGGCAAGAGACAGATAAACTTCAGTATTATATGGGGAGAGAGATGCCTTCATATTTTGCGTCGTTAGCATCTGATAGTCATACCAAAATCTGTTTGATTCTGAGCATATATTTTGAGGAATACCAGCCTGAGTGAGATGTGTGAATGGCATAAACGTAGTGAGGGCACCCAAATGGTTAGGAAAACTGGTGCGCATGATTTGGGCATGCAATATTAAAGCCAAAATACCTGTTATAAGATAGGCATCGTCGTCCACTGAGAAAAGACAGTCCATTACCCAGCGCTGATGTCCTGATACGTAGTAACACAGAAACCTTTCAAAATCAATTTACAGTCGGCTTAATATTTCTGTGGTCAAAATGATACCTTGGCTTAAAAGTTGAGACTTTAGCGGATACCTATTAAATTCCATATCTTGACAGTGTAGTGAGAAGATGCAGTGGCCAAATATCTGAAAGATATGTTAACAGGCATCTCAATGCAGGCACATAAAATTAATTGGTTTCTGTGAGAAGTAAATAAAGAGATTTAATCTTAAGCAGTAGAACCTGAGGGGTTCACAAAACTCAGGGCACATAAAATTAATTGGTTCCTGCTTCATAGTATAGGGATGACCTCTTTCACGTTCTAAATCAACATAACACAAGATCTAAATAACTTGTGAGGTATTATCTATCGTCTTCGATAGCACATCATTAATATTCTCAGAGCTGGCTCTGATACCATTTGTTAGGAGCTGAGACTTAAACTCTAGGCTCGCACAGCTTCAAAATACAGGGATGGCTTCTTCTGTATTTTAGATTAGTCTATCACAACGTCTACAGCAACTTATGATATATTATCCGCTCCATCTCATTAGACCTCATGATTTTGATCCCACAAAATATGCTTCACAAAGAAAAATTGATGTGAACACTTATATTTCAAGATCAATTCTAGCATACAGTCGATGTAGGACTCATTCTTCCTCTTTGGTGACACTTGCAACTTGTGAAGTGGCTCAAAGTTTGTCATATATAATTGCAAGAGAAAATAATGCCTCATCAGGCAAAACATGATAAATTGATAGAAGGCAATTGATAACAAAACTAAATCGGAGATAAAACTGTAACCTGGCTTCCTCTTAATAGGCGCCAAACATAACATGTCCCATGATTATTTGCAGCAACTACCAGGCTTCCGTCCCACGTGACTGTAAGGGCACAAAGTTCATGTTGATGCAAGAGACATCTCATGCATATGTTCTTAATTAAAAACAGCAAATCTAAGACGAAGAAAATAAAAAAAATGAGGATAGAAGAAAAAAAAAGAATACCAATTCACAGCCGCAAGAGTTAGCTGTCAAATCCCATACACGAATGTTACTATTTTAGTCACCGGATATCAACTCAGTCTACAAAATCATGGACATCCAATCAAGAAAACTTGTCTAAGGTGAGAGAAAATTAATAAAAGCGACAACAAAAACTACTTGTAAATATTCGTCACCAGGTAAATGCTGTTCAAGAAATAGTAAAGATGAACATTAAAATGTTTAAGTTTGCCAAGCACAATTTCACATACTTGTCCAATAAAATTTGTTCTTTTTTGATTCGTAACAACCAATACATTCTTCTTTTACAGTGCCATCCTCAGAACCTGAATACATCAAGTTTCTATCACATTGAAATCCTACAACCATAACATTATTTGTATGCGAATCATAGCGAACAATAAGACTAATTGTAAGAGAACAAAGTCCATGACAATCATGCAGAAATTTGTGGAAGACATACAGGCTGAGGGGTGGTGGAATTAATATCGAAAAAACGAATGCAAGGATTACCAGCTGCAGCGAGGTAGCGCTTGCCAATTAACTAGCTGCAGGCATCAAATGTCAAAATTAAATCTCATGCAAAACATTTACAGCAAAATTTAAGAATTTTGGGTTCAAAAGTAAGGGATCAAAAGCATCTAGATTTTGCACATCAGAAAACTAAGTTGCTACATTTCACTTCTAGATTTTGCACATCAAGAAACTCACAGCTACAGAAACACATAACTAAACTAAGTTGCATAAAAAGCTTCATTTACTCAGTTTCTTAGAAGCACATTTTAATTATGATTTGAACATAAAAGAATGAAAATTTGCCATCAGCCATGCAACTCAGCTCAACTAGCTAGAGTTGGCAACATGAATGTTCTTCCTCCAATTTTACCAGCCTAACATCATCCCTATGTAAGGATATCCAGTAGGTCAGCCGCAGATCATTCATCTTTTTCCTTCGTGATCATCACAAACCAATCATTCATCTTCAATGCAGGGACCTCTTTTTCTAGTTTTCTATAATTAAATTGCAGAAAAAAGGTTGTTCAAGTCAAGGCCTTAAATTTGCACAACAAAATTATAATGCACGAAATAGGTCCAATAACATGCCCCCGTTGCATCCCACCACAGGATTACATCATTGGTCCCATAAAAGCTTATCAAATTTTCAAATATATATAAAAAAACAAAAGAAAAGTAGAAATAAATAAATTTATAATATTATAACAATTAGAATCACATAAAAATCATAATCGATGGTCAATATTCATTTATTTGGTTTCATAAGTAGAGCTTCTAATGAAAAAAAATATTAGTTCCTTAAAAAATTAAGATTTTACAATTAACATAAAATAAAAAATAGAGTTAAAAAAAAAAAAAAAAAGAACTGACCGAATCAGGGTATTGACCAGTACGGTAAGAGCGGCTGCTTTTCGCCTCCCAAAAGCGAATAGTATGATCATAGCTAGTGGTTGCTAGTATTACCGACGGTTGTCATCTTAATCTACCGCTAATGACCATTAATTAACGGTTAATCATGATTAATATTTTTTGTTAAATGAAGAGATGGAGGAATAAGTGATTATGAACTTAATTGCCACTGGATCATTGAAAGAAAAAATTGAAACAAAAATTTGGGAAATTGAGGATAAACGAGACTCTTTTTAGGGTTTTGAAGGGTTTTTGAGAGAGAGAAAGGATGTGTGACAGAGAGAACAAGCAAAATTTTTGTTTTTGGTTTTTTTTTTTTTTTTTTGGCTCAGATGTTTTTGACTTCTTTGTTTATGTTTGGTCAAGTTTAAGATTCAGCTCGGCCCAACAATGCTGCTATTTTTCGGCTTGACTTTATTTTTTTCTACCATTTTCTTTTATTATTTTTAAATGAAAAACATTTTGTTTTCATCTCCTTTTCTATCTACTTGTTAACACTCTCTCTGTAACTCACTCCATCTCCCCTAGTTCTTCTCCTCCTTTTCTTTCATAGCGGTTTAGATTTCTCCAACAACCTCTGACAAAACGTAATCCTAAAATCTAACATATCGCCGCCTTTTTCTTGCCGGAAAACCCTTTTTCCGCAGTCAATGATCCTTGAAAACGGCCTAGGAAGCCGAACAGCCTTGTTTTTTTTTTTTTTTTTTTTCTATGTTGATTTAATTTGGTTGCTGATTTTTGCTTTTATGAAATTGTGTTGATTTTTTGACGATTGTGTGGTGGTTGTTATGAAACCAGGACTAGTAGTGCTTGGGTGCTAAGAATGACCTGGCGTAGGCAGTGGCCTGAGGGTGCCGGAGACTAGCTGCTGAGCTTCGATTGTCTTTGTGGCTGGTGCTGGGGACTGGCACTGCCTTGTTTCAATAGGTAGCTGCCAGGTGTGTTGAATGCTTGAGAGAATAACCATTAACCACATCATTTTTGCTGATATGAAAAACAAAAACAAACAAAAAAGATAAAAACATTGAAGAATGCTTGAGAATATTTAATGGAGAAAAAAAAAAGGGGAAAGGAAGGTAAATGGCCGAAAACCAGAGTTTGTGGAGGAGATTTATTGAGGAAATTAATTTTGTTTTTGAAAATTACTGTTTAAAGCAATTTTTTTTACCACGAAAATTAACATCAAATTCAAGGTCAAGCAATTTCTTCAAGTTCTAAGATAAACTAACAGTCAAATTCAAGGATTAATTTGGAGTTAAGGGAATAATCAATATCAAGTTCTAACTTTCAGGCCTTCTATTTTGGCGTTATGAACCTTAATGAGAATAGACATGTATTAGCTCAACGTCGAATCAGAAGCCATTAAAACTGTTCCCAAAATGTCGGTCTGAATTCAGATCTGTTGATCGAAACACAAACCTGAATGACAATCATGCTGAGCTGATGTCATTTTCTTCCATCAACAGTGCCCTTCAATTATTATCTTCTTGTATTATTCTTTTATTAGTCCTATTCTTCTTTGTACCATTTGCTCACGCATTATCATTCAATTCACAGCAGTGTACAAATCTTCCGAATAAATGCCTTCCCTTTTTTTTTTTTTCTTCTTTCTTTTTCAGTTGAAAAACTTGTCTCTCCTATTCACCGTTTTATATATTGAATTGAATTAAACAACATCCTTAACATCCTTTAGTTTGAATGTTGATTAATCAACTTTTACTTTGTTTGATCGAATTGTATTATTGAAATTTTGCCACTTTCCTCCTTAAATGACAAAAGGTAGTATCTGTGGGTTCAATATCCGCTTGAGGTCACCGATGCGGCTCCCAGATGTACCCCTTAGTCGATTTAGTAATTTGGTACGGAACTAAAAAACCAATACTTCAATTAATCCTTCACCTCAACATCAATAATTTTGAATTCGAGCAAGAAAAATTATTTTTTAATATTTATATATCTTAATCCCTTGATTCAAATAATTTTATTTATATCAAATTTTTATAATTTAAAAAAAAAAAGATGCTTTATTCGTATTCAATTTGTTGAATTGATATCAAATGGAATTGGCATCGACAAGTCAAAATTTGATTTTACAAAAACATAGAGCAATTCCTTTATATATGCGACATGGTTAATGTCATTAGTCATGAATTTAACATTGCCAACGCCAAAAGGTGATTAGAGCATTTTTTATCAACGACTTTTTTGTATTTTTGTCCTCTCTCTAGATCGGTGATAATTTTTTTTCAAAAAAAAAAAGAATATATATATATAGGCTCAAAATAAACTAAAAATAGAATGGCTATTCGGTATTAGGGAAAATTATAAGGATGTTGTAGTAATTTAATTAGCTCTTAATATTAAGAATTTTGTGATGTCCTAAATACCCAAACATCGATTAAAAAAAAAATCGAAATATATGTACTTTCTCCCCTCATATATTTAAAAAAATAAGAATTTGATGGTGACATTTGGGGATTTGCAATAAGGGCAGAGCTGTTGGTAAATGTAAAACCATGACGAGACACAGACATGGAAACACAAAGTGTTCGTCGGTAACATCTTACTTACATTAATGCAATAACCACACTCACTCGTGCTGTCTTGGAAAGGTAAATAAAAAGATAATCAGCATGGGGGGGATTAATCTTTGTTTATTAATATTTGAGAGGATTATAAATTACGTTCCCAGATGCTTATAGTGCTTCCCCCACCTCCATGCACGGTTTCCATCTACTCAAAATATGCGTACTTGTTTATTCATTTTCCTCCTGTTTCCTAACCACCCCCCCCCCCCCAAAAAAAAAAAAGAAGGGAAGTTTAAATTTACAACCCTAGCTAGCTAGGGACTTGGATTACGTGAAGAAAATTTTACTTTTCTTCCATACCAGAAACTGTGTCCATAGTAAAATTTTACAACCCTAGCTAGCAAGTGGTATTTGATTAATTTTTGGCATTTAGATTGGTTCAATTCAAAAGTTAGTTCTTTTCCACGTATAAATTAAAGTATTTGGATGATTTGAGTATGCCATAATTTGAGGGGGGAAGTAATTTGTCTGTTTCTATTTTTTTTTTTTATGAAAAAAAAAAAGGTGTGAATGATATTTATCCAGTAGAGTGAAAATGAGAGAATCTGAATTTTGCAAGCTGAAAAATGTCAACATGGGATTTTGGTAACTGGATATATAGTTAATGAGGTGATTAATTAGATAGTGAAAGGCCATTATCTTCAAATTAAAGCTAAATCCCCTTTATGCTTTAAGGAAAAGGAGAAAGTGGAATCCATTTGTCTTAGCTTTTATCAGTGCTCAACAACCACAGTAACAAGTAAAACTAGGTGGTGAACATATATACATATAATAGCCACAAAAATTTTAGATTTATGCCCACAAACACCCAATATATGCAGCAAAAATATCTCCTCTGCCAGCCTGCCGTCTTACCATTTCAATTCACCCCATTCGATAATTTTGACCAAATATGACAAATAGGGTATCCCATCACTTTTTTTTTTCTACAATCAATCTCTCCCTCTTATAATTTGTCTTTAAATAATTCCTCTCTTGTAGGGCTAGGCTTAACCAAGTACCATGGCTGCCAGTTTTTCAGCTACATTGTAGCCACCCAGTATTTAATTCTATTGAATGTTCTTGCTTTCTGGCCAGCGGTTTACCTGAAAAATAAAAATAAAAAAATTATATGACTTGTTGATAAAATATTTAATTTTTAATTTTAATAATTAGGGTTTAATTTTGATAACTTTAAATATAAAAAAAAGGTTTATTGCAGTTATGGTGCTAATTAACTTAAAGTTAAATGAAAGAAGTCAAATTAATGTTCTCGAGAGAGAGAGAGAGAGAGAGGGAAGTGAGAACCGTGAGCTAGATAAGGAAAAATAAAGTATAAGAAGAATGGAGCAGTGGGCAAAACACAGTGATAGGGATTGGGACAATCCTATAAGCTCTGAAAACATTTGGGCAAGCACGAGCCGACCAGCGCCCGCACATCAATGGAAATGTTGGAATGGACTGAAAATAGTTGCCTCTTCTCCATGTGGTTTGGCCTTCAATCATATTATATTATTATATTAAATATTTTCTAGATTTCAAAAGAAAATTAATATGTATATAAGGTTAAAAACACATTCAACGACAAACTTGGTTGGGATGGGAGCCAAATCTTCCGTTGAATTTTCTTATTATATCTTTCTATTTGGTTTTTCTACTGACAAACGTCGTCTGAGAAATATATATTATAAAGGTAACATTAAATACTTTAATATAAACTGTAAATGTCATGTGTACTGATGAAATATGCATGATGTTTATTTGATTCGACATTGACGATGACATGAAACGTATATTTCAATTTTCCATTTCAAATAAATTACAGATCGCTCTATGTTATTATTGCTTGTGTAAGCATAATACATGAGAAGTAGCTCTTTTCACTCTAACTGTAGCTTTTACCTTATCTTTTTATTCACCCTCAAATTCTCTCGGTTACCATTGCTCGCGAACATGAGCTGCTTGAGTCCTATTATAGCTGTGGCCTAATTCATTTGTCAGCCATGAAAGGTTTTATTCTTTAATATTTTAAAATTGAGTTACACCGTAAAAAATAAAACATTCTGATCATTACATAAACCCTAGCATTTTCTCCTAAAAAATGGAAACCAAATAACTTTTTTTAATTTGAGAGTCTCAAATTTTAATTATTGAAAGGTAAAAGCTGAAGATTTGTCAAAGCTAAAAAAAATAAAAATAATGTTATTTGATTATGATTGTAATTTTTTTCTATTTACAATTAATTTCTATAAGACATGCAGCCCATTTTTTTTTCTCCATGATTATCTTAGTCAGTTTACCATGAAAAGATTGCTTTATTAAATGGGCAAATAGGCAGAAGGAATTTTTTTTTTTTTGGTAAAAAAAAATTAAAATAAATAATTATAAATTATATATTTAAAATAATTTTAATAAATTATCATCGATAAAATTTAAATTTAAAATTTTTTTATTAAAAAAAATAAATTATAACCAATTGAATCAATTATCGATAAAAAAATCTTTGATTTTTTGTTCTATCGCATATATATATATGACTGATAATTAAATTTCATCGTGTTTGCTTTGTGCGCCACATCAAAAATTGTGCGCATTACATGACAAAAATTCATGATGTAGGAATGTGAATATCAGTTGAAGAAAAGAAAACTAGTACATATTTATTGAATAAACAAACCATTTACTCCATGGGTTTTTTCAAAAAGAAAAAATAATTAAAGATATTAATAAAAAAAAGGGTTTTACAAAAGTTAAATAATCTAAAAGTACTAGTTGAAATTACTTTTAAAATCATTGCAATATTTATAATGATTTTATTGTCATAATGATTTCATCATTATCAACGTAAGCTTAGCACTGTTACATGCTGTTATTCAAAATATTTTTGAAAGCTTAAGCTTTCGTGAAAGAGTCCAAGTTTTATTTTAAAGTTCATAGTTACATTCATTTTTAGTATGCATGCATGCTATATACAATAATTCTTTAATTTTATTGCTTCGGGATGTAAAACCCCTTCACTTACTGGATTAAATAACATTTTCAAGTTACAAAATAACATGAAAAAACATATTCATTTTAAATTTATTGTAATATATTTTTAAAAATACATTTAAAAAATCACAAAACGATGAATAAATATATGAATATCTAACTTAAAATTTTTTCATGGGAATCTTTTTTTACTTAAAATGATCGTAAATTAAATACTAATCATTAAAAATTTAATGGATAATTTTTCTTATGTCATCATCTTAATGCTAGGAGAAAAAAAATAAACCTAGTTAGTGCTCCGCAGTAAGCCAAGTCCAGCACAATCTTGTCCAAAGCAGCATCATCAAGATTTAAAGCCCGGCCCTGTAGGTAATTTGGAAAGAATATGAAGGGTGTTTCAGTCATTATAGTTGAACAAATAGGTAATAAGTAGCAAAAGGAATTTACTGTTGGTTAACTGGAATCCCAAGTTTTACCATAAAACGCTCATTAACGGTATTTTCCTAGATTCTCTTCATACTTTTAAGTCTTTAACCAAAAAAAAAAAAAAAATTGTTTTTCTAATTAATAATCAAAGAGTTAAGACTTCTTTTTGGTCCTCATTTTGGTGATTATAACTTTCCCCTTTGCTTTATTTTAAATATTTTTTTATTAAGCACTGTAATCACTCTCTCTTCTTCAGTCAGCTTATGCACTCTCTTGCCTTCTATCTATCTATAAAAGCAAATCAATCAAGTCTAAACTGTTCTGAATTTCTATCCCTTAAAAAAAACCCTTTTTTTTCAACCATGGCTGACTACCCTTACTCCAATTTCTTCTCAGGTTGGTTCAAGTTCAACCCTCTTCAACATTACTCATCTCCAGACACTCCTCCCCAGCAACAACCTAATTTCTATACCCAAAACTTATATAGCAACACCAACTTCGTGAGAAATGAAACCAGCAATTTTAACCCCCTTTTCCATTACCAAACCACCTGCTCATCATCATCGTCAGCTCCTTCCCCTCCTGTTAGAGAAGCCTTACCACTATTGAGCTTGAGTCCCACAAGGCATGACAAAGAGGACCAGGAACAGGATGATGAAGAACAAGATCAAGATCAAGAGCTATATGCTTGCACTGCCATGGATGTAGACAAGAGAAAAGGGAAAGAGGAAGTGCGGAGGCTGCTCTTGAGTAATTACAACAGTGGTGCTGCTGCAGCAGCAGCTGTTGAAGATGAAACTGTTACTGTTGCACTGCATATAGGGTTACCAAGCCCTAGTGCTTCAGAGTTGGCTTCAGTTTTATCATCTTCCTCAGAGATCACAGACAAAGATGGGGATGGTGATGATTCTGGTTACCCATTTAACAGACTCAACAAGGGACAATATTGGATCCCTACCCCTTCTCAGATTCTTATTGGCCCTACACAGTTCTCTTGTCCTGTTTGCTGCAAGACCTTCAATAGATACAACAACATGCAAGTAAGTTTCCATTTCTTGAATTATTGCCTCTATTTTTTGCCCTTTTTTTCCAACTTAAAAGAGGGTAAGTTGAAAAAACAAATACATCCGAATTCTTTTCTTCTTATGACTTTTCGCCTGATGGAATCTTAAGCTTTTTTTTATTTTTCTTTCCCAAGCTTGGATTTTAGAGAAGAAATAAAAGCTGATTTATCCAATGGGTATTTCCCTTTTCTTTTCTAACACATTTTCTGGATACCTATATCTTGTGCTTCTTTTTATTATTATTTTTTATTTTTTTGCATGGCTTGTGGGTTTTGTGGTTTGAATAAATCGTTCTGATCCAAACTGAGTCTCGGATCAGTACCTTCTTTTTTGTGATTGAACCACACAGGCAATGTTCTTTATGCCTTTGGTACTTTGAAGTTTGTGCTTTACTCATGCCAGGCAGCGTACAACTGAAATTTTTGCAGTTTTTCAGAACTTGGATGTTCCTATCAAAGCAACAAATTAATCTGTTTGAACCTTCAGTTTACCACAAAGTATTGCAGACATGATCAAAATCCCATACCTGGGAGATATCGTTTCTCAATCTTCTAAACCAGTCGAAACTTATCCAACTCAATTTCGCTCCTCAATATAGGGATGGGCTCCACAATTGGGGTTGAGCTGGGGAATTTATTTTGCTTTATGAAGAAAAATTATTTCCTTTTTAACAAGACAATTATCATGAGATTGTCTTTTGGAAACATATCAACAATTGTATTCAAGATAAATATTGTCACTCAATTTATATAGTAGATTTCTATGAGGAAAAAAAACTCACTTTTTCAAAGACACCCAAAATTGTATGGAGGTTCTAATTTGTTTTTTTTAGGTACAAATATATACTCAAGATTTTGGTCTTGGCGTGTCTGCAGATAACTTTTGCTGTTTTAATTTTGTTGGCTTCTACTGATTTTTTTTTTTCTTTGACTCAATTCTGTGCAGATGCATATGTGGGGGCATGGATCTCAGTATAGGAAAGGGCCTGAATCACTAAGAGGAACACAACCAACAGGAATGCTAAGGCTTCCTTGCTATTGTTGTGCACCAGGGTGCAGGAACAACATTGATCATCCAAGAGCAAAGCCACTCAAAGACTTCAGAACCTTGCAAACACATTACAAGAGGAAGCATGGGATCAAGCCATTCATGTGCAGAAAATGTGGCAAGGCATTTGCTGTGAGAGGAGACTGGAGAACCCATGAGAAGAACTGTGGAAGGCTCTGGTATTGCATTTGCGGCTCCGATTTCAAGCACAAGAGATCTCTTAAGGACCACATAAAGGCTTTTGGGAATGGCCATGCAGCTTATGGCATCGATGGCTTGGAAGAAGATGATGATCCTGCATCTGAAGTGGAACAAGATAATGATTCCATGCATTAATTGAATAAATGGAAAAAAAATTAAAAGGTTATGAAGGAATGGTTAATTAATTCTCTAATTATAAAGCTTTATTTGCCAGGCTTCCAAAGTAGGAACTATATATATATATATATATATATATCTATATCTATATCTATATCTATATATATATATATATATATATATCAATTTACATGGGGAAACCTGCTTTTTCCTCCTTTTTTTTCTTTTTGGTTTCCTTAATAATGTAGGGACCTTAACATCCAAGTTAGGCTAAGTTCTTGTATATCCATTTTCCTTTCAAACTGATCATTTCAGTGGTTTCTTTCTCTTTGCAGTGTGCTTTTCAATCTTCCTCAGAATAGGCATGGTGAATAATCTCATATTGCTTAAACTATTACTCACCAAAATGGAAAACAGAAGCTGAAACTAAAGACCCTTGTTGGTAAAGCATATTATTGATGCTGCATTAGACGATAATTATGATATACTCATTGAAAAATAATACAATGAAAAATCTATATTTTTTTTATATAATGGTGAAATGTTTCACAAGGAAAAGTGCAGTTATTTTTTCTGAGCACTGTCAAATATTGTTTAAAGCAAATTTATTCTTCTTTAGTTATAAGTTTCATGAATAATGAAAAGGATTTATGGGGGTTTTTTGTATAATGCCAAAGATCATTCTTTCCGTGGAAATTAATCATTCTTCTTCTGTTTACAGCCACTTTAAACCATGGAAAATCCTATGATTTAAGAAAGTTGAGATACAAAGGCATCCACCATATTTATGCACATACATATAAATACAAATACGTGTGCGTATATTTATGTGAGTGGGAGAGGGCTGAATTATGAGAAGATAGCAAATTACATGATGAAAGGAAACTGTCACTGATGTCATGGCTTAGCTACTTGGAAAGATCAAGTGATAGACCTTTGACAAATCATGGATGATGGATGGATATATATTGTTTGGGTTCAGTTTTCTGTAATTGTTTGCAGTGAAGCTTTTTGGAAATAAGAGATGACCACTTCCGCTAATTCTAACTTTTAGGGGATGAAAATGAAGATATACATGCATGGATGATCAGTGTGGGGTTTTCGTTTCTGACTTGTTAGCTTTAATAATTCAATTTTCCTTCTTAAGATCCTCATACGAGTCTTCGCCACTCCCACAAGTCTCACAAATTGGATAGCGAAGGGATGTGCATAAAGCAAGCTGACCACTGGATAACAAGACAGGTGAGTATATTTTGTTCCAAATGTAGTTGAAATATACTTTTCATCCTGCAAACAAATCAGCTTTTTGGTGCATATGATGCCCTTTCGCTTTGATTAGTGGAGAGATGTGTTTGTTGATGGATGGAACATATACCATTCGAGAGATTCACTATTATTACCTGCAAAATTCAAAGCAAATGATTAGCTTTTGGCAGAGAGAGAGGGGGTAAAAATATGATTTTGGAAATTTGGAACGGGGGAGGACACCATAGAAAGATGGGTATATAGCTAGGAGCAATATAGTACTACTAGTAGTCTATATAAGATGTTAATAAGATTGGGAGGGATGGGAGTTGAATGGATCTTGTTGGCAGCTTTCTTTAGAGAGAGAAAGGCATGGGCAAAGGGGTCAGTCAGGGCCAAAAACTGAAACAGCGTGGAGCCCAAGCTCCGTTGGTTGGGCAAATCTGCAGCATACACTGACGCGCCTTACAGTGCATACACACCCACTTCTGATGGATAAACTGTAGCATGAAACGACATTTCAATCAGTCTTTGACCATCTCTCTCTCTCTCACACAAACAGCTTTCAAAAATTCAGCCCTGCAATTTGCTGTTGTAGTGATTGCAAGGCATGTATGCAATATTTGCGAGTGTTCCCAAGAACTATAATGATGATGAGGAATACTATGAGAAGAAAAATAGGGGACAAAATTTAGTGATTTTCCCTCTCTAAGAAACACCGCAGAGTTTTAGCAGGCCACATGTGTCAGTTGATGGCCCCCGGGGCATACCAATTTCTATGTGTACTGTTCTATATCACTCTCCAGATCAACCAACAGTATTAACTGAGAAAAAATCAGAACCAATTCGCATTTATTGACATTTAAACTTACCCTTTAGCTGGGAAGACCCCCCCCCCCCTGGGGCCATTGTTCTTCCCATTAAGCAACTGACCTTTCTGGCTATCTTTTACATACATATCAGTGTTATCACCTTTTTTTATTTTTCTTTTCTGCAAAATTGCCATGGCTTTGAAAATTACTATCTTTTAAAACAAATAAATTACCCCAAGTACTTATATACGTATTAACTCAAGCATTCATGTACGTGCATGATCTGTCAAGAATCCTCTTAATTACAAAATGAGAAGTTTTATGGGTCTAACTCCAAGATAATTCTTCAAGATCTTTGAATTTCTTTAATAGAGGAAAGAAAAGGTTCAACATGCAGATTAACAGAAGCTCATTATTCTTCTTCTTTTTTTCCTGTCTAAAAGTTGAAGACAGCCTTTACTACTTAAAATCCCAAGGCAACCTACCTTAGTGTATTTTTTTTCTGATATTTTCCCATTATCTAAGTTGTTTTTTCAACATCAGTTTTATAAATTATACTGCATTTTCCCATGGCCTTGTCAAGGAGACCAAGCATCCTACGAGAGAATATATATAGTATAAATAATTTTTTTTTTATTTTGCCTCGTATTGATATTCCAATACACAAAGGAGACAGCTTTGTCTCCCCATGGGCTCGAATCACGACCTTTTTTCTACAAATTCTTAATAAATAGGGACACCAATCCCCTCCACTCAATATTTTAGAAAGATTTTTTTTTCTCTTCTTTTCGTGAAATTCAAGGTATATTACGACAAGAATACCATGTTTTCTTATGAAATTAACGTAAAATCCAGGGAACTTTCACCTAATTTGCAGATCCACATATCATTTTTAAGTGGTCCATTTAAATTTTTTCAGTAAGTGCTGATGCACTGCAAACAAAAAACTTTTACTCTGGTAAGTTAAAACTTCATTATTTTCTTATCAACAAAAAAAAAAAAAAACAAAATTGAATATCATTATTAGATAAAGCACAAATTTGATCACTTTAGCCAAAAAAAATCTTGAAAGGAATACCAAAAAAAAAAAAAAACCAATTAAAGTACTTTTTTTAACAATTATTATTCAAATCTAATGCTAGTATAAATCATGGTGAATTGTGGATGGTGACGCATGTCATTATATATTAAAAAAAAAAAAAAAAGGTATGGACACCAAAGAGCTAATGAAATTCACTTATTTTTCAGTGAAATGATGAGCAATGTCTTCCATGTACACATAAATACTACATGACCCAAAAAAAATATATGAACCAAACTGCAAGAAAGGGAATTTTGAGGTAGGTCTAACCCTCAAAGTTACGAGACAACTTTGTTTGAGAGGCCCCAACAAGCAAAAGGAAAAGGGGAAAAAGGTTGAAGAAATAATCTTGTCTCATGTAATCTTGTCTCATAATCACACTCACCTTTGAAAAAGGAAAAAATAAAATGAGATAAAATTATTTTTAAAAAAAGGAAAAAAATTATAACAAGGGGAAACAAAAAAAATCCAATTCATTTGGACTATACCATCTAGAGATATATGATCTCTTTTTGCCATGATCATCATTATCCATGACCAAATTGCTTTTCTTTGATTCAATTTCTTTTTTTATGCTAAAGTTTAGTTGCTTTGGGTGCTAGGAGATTCTCCAAGTAGTAGGTATTTTGCATTTTGGTAGCTATCATTAGAATAGGGGAATATATAGCAAAAAACTTGAGGGAGAAGAAATGGGTGATCAGCATATACTTATAAACTTAAATAAAACATAGAAAACAGCATAAGAAAAGGAGAGAAAGGAAGGCGATTTAAAGAGAGCAAAGAAAGGGCATATCAAGGCTTTTGTTTCTGCTCATCAAGGACAGCAGAAAAAGTTAAGTTTGAAGTTCATGGCAATCAAATCAAAATGAATGGGGCATAATCCACTTTGTTTTAATATTTTTAAAATACTATTTTAATCAGGCAAGTAATCCAATTTAAGGGTGAAGTTGTTCCAGTTGTTGTATATATATTTATTACTAATAATGAATGTTTTCTAAAGTATTTTAAGTCTTTTTATAGTATTCAAAGAATGATATTTGGTTATTGATTAATAGCTTCTTTATTTGGAATTCAAATAATATGAACATTGGATATGTTGCTTCATTTCAAAAGTAATGATTCTTCATCAAAATCATGTATGTTCATTGAGAAATATTTTAAACAAAAAGTGATAATTTTTCGTTCAAGTTATGTACGTTTATGGAAAGATATTTTAAATATCTTTTAAGGCTTATAAATATTTCCAAATAGTTTATTTTAAGATACTTCTACAATCTTTCAAGAATCAAATCATTCTCTCTCATTCTCATTTTCTAATTTATGGTTCACATGTATTTAAGAGATTCCTGAAGTGTAATCTTGATTTTTTTTTTTTTTCGTTTAGACATTAAATCCTAGATACGTTTTCCAGGGTTTCTTAACACTTTGGCCAATAAATTATATTATTCTAAAGAAGTTTCTTAAAATGTCTTATCATTTTTTTTTTCCTTTCATTGATTACATTAGTCCAATTCCAGGTACCATCATAGTTGCAAAGAGAACCTAATAATATACATATGCAAATCTTAAGTTAAATAAAACCCAGAATTATGGACATTGAATAATAGTTTATTTCTTTTCATTTTTCTTAAATCCAAAGTATGCTCTCTGTATTTTTAACAAATGATGGGTTATGTGTGTGTGTGTGTGTATATATATATATATATATATATACCTCTAACAAATGATCAAGTGTAATTTATTTGAATGACATTATTAGACATCTTTATATTAATTAATTATATAGTAAAAAATTGTGATGGATTGATGGTTAATTGTTATAACTCTTAGTAATCTAATCAGATCAATGGCTAGGTCTGAATGCTTTGGGGGAACCATGATTAAAATCGTAGGACCCATG